GCTCGAACCCGTGTCCCGTGCATTGGCAGGCGGATTCTTAACCATTGGGCCACCAGGGAAGTCCCTATCCTAAAGTTTTAAATGAGGGATAGATATGCATTTTTAAAAGCTTCAGTTGTAAGGTGAAGAATGAATTGAGAAGGGCTAGAGAGTACCATTTGGGGAAAGTTAGGCCGTTGAACTAAGTAGTGCAGGATTGTGCAGTAGGTGGGAGATATTTGGTGTTCCAGTGAAAGAGTTTTCTTCCCAATCTTATCTTTTTCCATAATGTGTATTCTTATTTACCCACTTTAATGATATGAATACTCTTTATATATCAGTGTGCTGGAGAATATGTACATCTGTGTACATGTCAGCTGAGGACAAGCGCTAGAGGAAGAAATCAATATGCAGTTCTGATGGTAGGTTATTTAGATCACCAATTGTTAAATTGTATCAAAAAGACAAAGATGACTCCAAGCAAAAGCATTAGGAATTTATTATTGGTATGTCCGGGAAAAGATGGAAGTTAGTCAAGACTAAGGGCAAAACACTGATAAGTGATTACCTCCATTGTCATACTCAACTATTTCATTCATAGTTATAATATTTGAATTCTTTATGGTAAGATTATCTAACTGTAGTGCCCAGAGGATGGGGAACCCATAAATGTTGTTAAATAGATGTGCCCATGGCAGGGAGTGGAAAAGCTGTTAATTTGACTGTTTTTGAAAGCCTTGGAGTCTAGCAAGACTCAGTTCTCTCTTTAGCAATACGTAGGAGAACCAGTAGCCTTTTGCCTTTTGTTCTAGTTTGGGATTAATGCAGTGGAAAAGTTTGTCATTATATTTAGACGGTTAAATCCTTGGAAAGTCAGGTTTGAAATGAAAAGACTAGTTTATTGCTAGAGTCAAGAGGGGAAACATTTTCAGGAAGTTAGCTTTTAATTTACTGGGAGCTATTCTGATGTGATTGAAAATGCTTAACAGAGTGTGATACATTGTAAATTTCCCACAGATGTTAATTCTATTCCATGGTTTTGTTTGGGAAGTCTCAGCCTAGGGAGAAAACTCTCACCCCCCCCCTGCAAAAAAAAAAGAAAAGAAAAGAAAAATTTGGGGGGACATAGTATCTTTATTTCGTGTTTAGAAATGGCTGTTTTTAGCTGAATTTCAGAGTGTTATATAAATAAGAGTATAGATTTTTCTAGGCAATTTTGATTCTGTATTTTCTTCTCACCTAGTGCTTGTTGAGGTCAGGCTGAGTCTCAGCCACACTGTAAGAGTCCTGGTGGCATGACGTTGACTTCCGTACCATACACCCTTGCTGGGGGGAAGGCCAGTGAAATTCTGGGTTGTTATTTCCCTATGGGTGGACTTGTTTGTCTTACTGAGTAAGAATTATTATATTTATTTATATACTTAAACTTTTGGAGCAGTTTCCTAGAACTTGTGCTTTTTGCAGTATTCAGTGTGAATTTGAAGCCATCAGTATCTGTTATTTTGTTCACTGGGTGAAAGGTTGTCATTAACATTCCTCTGGTAAACAGAATACTTTTGAAAAGTGTCCAGTTATGATCATCATACTTTTAAAAACTTGGAGCTACATTTCATGAATTATTTTCAGTATTATTACTTTAAGCCCCCGTATTCCTATACATAGCTACAAACTGCAAATTTTGTATAGTATTCAAATTTTTTACTAAATACTTTTAGGCACATGAAGGTTGTGCTTATGTATTTTGATAGATTGTTAAAAGTAGTAACTCAACAAATATACGATGGAAAACAAATTTCAAAAATTTGCTTCCTTTTCGTTGTTCAGAAATTGGTTTGATATTATGACAAGAAATATTTTTGCATATATTAATAGGTAAATTTTGTAAAGGCACTACTTGATTTCAGTTTTTCTGTTATTATAGTTTGGTATTATGTCAGTGATATAGGTAGAATAAGATGATTCGTAAATCTGTAAACTAGGAGTTAAATTGCAATAACATTTAAAAAAAATATTTATTTATTTATTTTGGTTGCTCCAGGTCTTAGTTGTGGCTCCAGAGCTCCTTAGTTGCGGCACATGGGCTCCTTACTTGTGTCATGTGAACTCTTAGTTGTGGCATGCATGTAGGATCTAGTTCCCTGACCAGGGATCGAACCTGGGCCCCCTCATTGGGAGCGCTTAGTCTTATCCACTGCGCCACCAGGGAAGTTCCGCAATAACATTCTTTTAATTTATACTTTTTTTCTCTTAAAGGTTCATATAAATTATAGAAACTCTTGTTTAAAGTAAATCCAGACAGCATTTTAGAAATTGAAGGTTGAGGGTTTGTTCTTCCTTCTAGCTATCTGGTCCAGTGCAGATGGTTTTTAGTTGCATTCAAGCACAAAGAAATGTATACTTTGTTTTTGTGTGTTCTGTAACATCCCTTGTCATGTTTCCTTCCTTTCTAGTTGTGTGTGTTTATTCTCTTATGACTAATAAAATTATACTGTGTGTACTAGAGTGGAGACTTCCCCCATATCTCAAGGACTGCACAGATAAAAGAGAGGGATGTCAAAAAACCAAAACAAAAGAAGCATTTGAGAATCCTGCAGTTTAACATGAGTAGTAGGGAGTAGAAATGAAGTTGGTAGGCAGTGGTCAAATCACCCAGCAAATACTGAGTGTCTGTATATTGTCAGAGTCTGTGGTAGGTTCTGGTGATAAAAGCAAAAGAACAAGACAGATATGGTACCTGCTCTCATGGAACTTTTACAGTATCTGGGGATGTAACATTAAATAAATAATGTTATAAGGTAGGTGCAGGGTGTTGTGGGAATGCAGTGGTGGTGATGATTGTGGGGAGTGTGTATGTGTGTGTGTCTGTGTGTGTGTGTGTGTGTGTGTGAGAGAGAGAGAGAGAGAGAGAGAGAGAGAGAGAGAGAGAAGAAACAGTTTTCCTAGCAGAGAGTCTCCAACATAGAGGGCCTCCCAAGAACTGAAAGAAGGGGCAGTATGACTGGAGTGGTGGAGGAATCGAGGTGGGGAGATTTTGGAAGACAGCAACTAGATTTTGGGGGAGCTTTTTAAGGCAAGTTGAGGATTTTGGATTTTATCCCTAAAGCAATGAAAGGCCTCTTCTGGAGGCAGAAGGAGGGAGATGGTTAACAAAGAGCAGTCCTCCAATATATAATACATAGTTTAAAAGCAAAGATCCCCTGAGTGCATTCAGGATGAGTTTGGAGGCTCCTGGCAGTTTGAACTAGAAAGGTTCCAATAAGGGTAGAGAAAAAATGGCTGATTTGAAATATGCTTAGGAAGTAGATAAGATTTGTTATAGGTTAGATATGGGCATTAAGGGAGGGGAACAAGGGAGGGGAATGAGTCAGGATAATAATATTAAGTGAGTTTTTGGCACTAAGCATGTCATGTGTATTAAATCATTTAATTCACCATTTTATAGATGAGGAAACTGAGACTCATTGCCTCCCTGATTTTTTAGCTTGAGGTGTTAGATGCATGATGGTGTCTCATAATTGAGGTAAAAAACTGGGCGTGGGGTGGAGGCTCAGAAGTTTAATTCTGGACATCTTGAATTTGAGATGTCTCTGAGATATCCAGGTTGAAGTGTGGAGTGGTTATTTGAAAATAAGGATTTGGAGTTCAAGAGAGAAGTCTGGGTTAGAGAGGGAAATTTGTTACTTTTTCGCAGATGACTAATGCTGGGAAGTAGAGAAAAGAGGGAACATGTGGAGCAAGAGAAGGGGGATTAGTGTGGAGCCCCGAGGCACCTGAGCGTTATGTGATTCAGAAGGAAGAAGGTAAATATGAAATGGCTTGTATGCTAGGTCAAATGTTTGGACTTTATTCTGAAAATATTAGCTTTGGGATTAGTCTTTGGGCTTATTGAGCTTGAGGTGTCTGTGGGACATTCAGGGACAGGAAGGTGGGCAGTTCTTATTACTTTTCCCCATATTTTTCTAAGGATGACTTCCCAAGGTTCTTCAGAAGATCCTGTCTGGGCTTTGCCTCATCCTGATTTCTTTCTTCTGGTCAGTTTATCAATGGACCTTTTACAACATAGTGGGCAGAGCTAGACACTGTTTTATTTGTGATCTGAGCAGAGTGGGTTGCCTTCACTTTGCTACATTCTGGACACTACTTTTTCTGTGAATATAGTTTAAGATTGAATTAGCTTTTGAGGGGAGGGGAACATTATTACATAATGTTTCTCTTGCTAACAAAGTGTTTTTCGTATATGATCCTGTGAAACCTTGTATCTCTTATCCTTGTGCTTTGTGCTAGCCAGATTTTGGACCTAAGTAGGAAGTCAATATTTGTGTTAAATGTCATCAGCTAGATTTACCTTATGGTTTCTGCTCTTTGTGATCTTTTTGGACCTGTTACTTAGCAATATTGAGTATCCTGCCCAAATTTGGTTCATCTATGAATTTTATAAGCATGTCATCTATGTCTACATTTAAATAATTGATTTAAAAGCTAATCAGGGCAGGAATGAAGACAGCTGTGGAATGAACTCTGGGGCCAAAGAGCTTGGGTTTGAATTCTAGTGCTGCCACTTAAGAACTGTGTTATTTTGGGCAAATTCTTTTAACCAGTCTGTGTCTTAGTTTCCTCATCTGTAGAATGGAAATAATGATAGTATGTTTTTCAAAAGGCTGTGGTGAGAATTAAATGAGTTATGTGTATGAAGTGCTTAGACTACCACTTGACACATACTAAGTGATCAATCATCTAAGCTATTGTTGTTGTTGTTTTTATTTTATAAACCATCTTAGATGTTCATACTCTTTTAACAGTATGTCCTGTTATTGCTGAGTCTCAAAAAAGTGATTCAGGATGTGTAATTAGACCAAAAAGTTTATCCTTCTATAATAGGAAACATGTTTTGGAAAATGTATAAAATAAAAGCTCAGCCAGATATACGTTTACTTGTTTTTTTCTAAACTGAAAGTTTTCTGATATACTAATTGAGGGGTTGTATAAAATTGAGGGCCTAATTCTTCCTCTTTCTTGGTGTAGGTATGGCATCACAGCTGCAGGTGTTTTCCCCCCCATCAGTGTCGTCGAGTGCCTTCTGCAGTGCAAAGAAACTGAAAATAGAGCCTTCTGGTTGGGATGTTTCTGGACAGAGCAGCAACGACAAATACTATACCCACAGCAAAACCCTCCCAGCCACACAAGGGCAAGCCAACTCTTCTCACCAGGTAGCAAATTTCAACATCCCTGCTTACGACCAGGGCCTCCTCCTCCCAGCTCCTGCAGTGGAGCATATTGTTGTAACAGCTGCTGATAGCTCTGCCAGTGCTGCTACATCAACCTTCCAAAGCAGCCAGACCCTGACTCACAGAAGCAACGTTTCTTTGCTTGAGCCATATCAAAAATGTGGATTGAAAAGAAAAAGTGAGGAAGTTGACAGCAACGGTAGCGTGCAAATCATAGAAGAACATCCCCCTCTCATGCTGCAAAACAGGACTGTGGTGGGTGCTGCTGCCACGACCACCACTGTGACCACGAAGAGTAGCAGTTCCAGTGGAGAAGGGGATTACCAGCTGGTCCAGCATGAGATCCTTTGCTCTATGACAAACAGCTATGAAGTCTTGGAGTTCTTAGGCCGGGGAACATTTGGACAGGTGGCTAAGTGCTGGAAGCGGAGCACCAAGGAAATTGTGGCTATTAAAATCTTGAAGAACCACCCCTCCTATGCCAGACAAGGACAGATTGAAGTGAGCATCCTTTCCCGCCTAAGCAGTGAAAATGCCGATGAGTATAATTTTGTCCGTTCTTATGAGTGCTTTCAGCATAAGAATCATACCTGCCTTGTGTTCGAGATGCTGGAGCAGAACTTATATGATTTTCTAAAGCAGAACAAGTTTAGCCCACTGCCACTCAAGTACATCAGACCAATCTTGCAGCAGGTGGCCACAGCCCTGATGAAGCTCAAGAGCCTTGGTCTAATTCACGCTGACCTTAAGCCTGAAAACATAATGCTGGTCGATCCAGTGCGCCAACCCTACCGAGTGAAGGTCATTGACTTTGGTTCTGCTAGTCACGTTTCCAAAGCTGTGTGCTCAACCTACTTACAGTCACGTTACTACAGGCAAGTGGCAAATGCTAAAGAGCATGTCTTCAACTAGAGATCTGTCTTTATATTTAACATATATTACAAAGGGCTACGTATAACAATGAATTTATTTACAGATTTCAACACAGAATAGGATAATATATTTTAGTATTATCCTAAATATATTTAGTATTTAATATTCCATGTGTGTGGCATTCCTATATGTAACATTATTTTATTTCTGAAATTTTAACTCTAGAAAAATTAATTCAGTCTGATTCTGAAGGTTGTTCCTAGTTGAATTATAGTAGCATCTGGTTCCTTCTTTACTACCGTTATACCTAATTTTCCCATTTTAAAGTATCTTTAAATATATAAGATGTTTACTTATATGTGATGAATTTGGGCATATGCTGCTATTTTTCCCAGGTTCCTATCTTGGCAGGTAAGATGCCTTGGGAATAATTCCAAGTTTAACTCTAGCAACATTTTATTATTTTACATTTTCTTTCTTGCATAATAGAGAGAATGGGATTAGATGATTGCTAAGGTCTCTTCTCGTTTTAATATTCTCCATAGTCCTTTGAACTTATTTGCATATGAACTTATTTGGTTCCATAGTCCTTTGAACTTATTTGCGTATGAACTTATTTGGTTATCCTAAAATGGCCTTGACCCAAACACCTTATACTTTTTTCAATATATAATAATTATTGGGACAGAACTTAAATGCTGGTATATAGAATTTTGTCTGTACTGTAATCAAGGAGCATTACTGAAAGAGAGAAGACGGGAAAGTCTTTAAATGAGCTTTTATTTCTCAGTACGTCATTTATCTGTCTAGTTATTAATTTTAAGGAATCTGATATTTATTTTAATGGTCATGCATTAAACACAGATTGTACACTCACCCAATCACGAAGTGAAACAATAAAAAGATAACCCACAAAATAAGTTTTATCAAGAGATATGTCCAACATGCCAAATGCCTATAATAAATTTTGAGGAAATAGAAATTCTGAACTAAGAATTTTATATTATGTGTGAAAATAATGTAAGGACATTTTAACCTTTATAGGGACTCAGAAAATATGCCACCTACATATTTTTGTTTTTCTAATTGTGATAAAACCTACCTAACATGAAGTTTACCATTAACATGTACCATTCAGTGTTGTGAAGTATCTTCATAGTGTTGTATAGCCTTCACCACTATTTCCAAATGTGTTTTATCACCCAAAACAGAATCTCTGTAACCATTAAGCAGTAACTACTCCACCCTCCTACCCCCTACCCCTGTTACCTCTATTTGACTTTCTGTCTCTATGAAATTGCCTATTCTAGATATTGCATATAAGTGGAATCATATAATATTTCTCCTTTTGGGTCTGACTTACTTCACTTAGCATAATGTTTTCAAGGTTAATCTCTGAAATTCTGTAGCATGTATCAGAATTTCATTCCTTTTCAGGACTGAATAATATTCTATTGCATGTATATACCACATTTTATTTATCTATTCATCTGTTGATGGACACTAGGGTTGTTTCCACATTTTTGGCTATTGTGAATAATGATGTAATATGAACATTGGCATTCAAGTGTTTGAGTCCCTGTTTTCAATTCTTTTGGGTATAAAACTAGAAGTAGAGTTGCTGGGTCATATGGTAATTCTTTAACTTTTTGAGGAACCACCAAACTGTTTTTCTCAGCCATTTCACGATCTTATATTCCCACCAGCAATGCATGAGGATTCCAATTTCTCCATATCCTCACCAATACATCAGCACTTGTTATTTTCTTTCTCTCTCTCTCTCTCTTTTTTTTTTTTTTTGGATAATAGCCATCCTTATGTATGTGAAATGATATCTCATATAGTTTTGATTTGCATTTCCCTAATGTTTAGTGATGGTGAGCATCATTTCATGTGCTTATTGGCCATCTGTATGTCTTCTCTGGAGAAATGTCTTAAGTCCTTTGTCCATCTTTGAATTGGATTGTTTTTTGTTGTTGCTGAGTTGTAGGAGTTCTTTATATATTCTGAGTATTAATCCCTGGTCAGATATATGATTTGCAGATATTTTCTCCCATTCCATGGGATTGCCTTTTCACTATATTGATAGTGTTGTTAGCACAAAAGTTTTAAATTTTGATGAAGTCCTATTTGTCTTTTTTCTTGTTGCTTATACTTTTGGTATATTCAAGAAATCGTTGTCAAACAAATGTCATGAAGCTTTTCCCCATGTTTTCTTCAAATAGCTTTAGCTCTTATATTTAGGTTTTTGATCCATTTTGAATTAATTTTTGTATGGTATAAAGTATGGGTCCAATTTCATTCTTTTGCATGTGGATATTCAGTTTTCCCAGCACCATTTACTGAAAAGACTGTCCTTTCTCCATTGAATGGTCTTGACACTCTTGTCAGAATCCTTTGGCCATATATATGAGGGTTCATTTCTGGGCTCTCCCTTCTGTTCCATTGTTCTAAATGTCTGTCTTTATGCCAGTACCATGCTTTTTTGATTACTTGTAGCTTTGTAATAAGTTTTGAAATCAGGAAGTGTGAGACCGCTAGTTTTATTTTCTTTCAAGATTGTTTTGGCTTTTTTGGAGTCTCCTGAAATTCTATATGAGTTTTAGGATGGACTTTTCTATTTCTGAAAAAAAATCATTGGTGTTTATAGCGCGCACTGAGTCTGCAAATCACTTTGCGCACTATTGACGTCTTAACAACATTGTCTTCCAATCCACCCTAATCTGTTTTTATCTATTCTTTCTATAGTTTTCTAAAACTCTATCACAGTAATACTTGATGATGAGCCTAAGGCAAGTGGAATAGCAACTCAGGCATTCCTTCTTTATATAAATTTTATCCACAGTGGTCCTGAGCATGTTGCATTGTTGCTTTATTAGAGTCCATTAAATCCTCACCCTCTTGTCTTTCAGAAAACCTCTCTGAAATCCTTTTGACCATTGAAGCATTCTGGCTCCAGAGCCAGCCTTCCTCTTACCCTCCTTTTTACACTGCATTGTTTACATTGCTTCATCTTGCTGATAACATGCCAAAGTACTATCAGTTGACGTAAATTTTTGCCACCATGCTGTCTCTGTTGGCCGTGGGCACGGCTAAATGATTCAGGCAGTAAAAATAAAGTACTTTATTTCCTAGCCCACTGTAAATGTAAATGTAGACTAATTCCAAGAAAAGTTGCTGTCTTTGGGTCTTGAGTTTTAGGCACAAAGGTTTGTTATGCTTATAAGCTCAATGCTTTTCCATTCTGAACAGGCTAGCTGGCCTTAAAGCTGAGATCACTTTGTTCTGTACGGAAGGACAAGATCTAGATAAGGAAAACATATTTTCAGTTTATCCTAGACAAACAAACAATCCAGTTTCATCTGACACTGAAACCACAGTTAACACCTAAGCCACAGATGTAGGAAGTTAGACTTTATGTAACATCTCTTATTTGGTTTGATGCCTCTGAGATGGGTGGGAAGAAACAAGAGTGTTCATGAAGATGAGCAGAGAATGATTTGTGCTGTTAAGTGATTCCAACCTTAGCTTGCTCTGGGTTCCAGTGAAATAGAGCTTTATGACTTAGGTGGAAGTTTTCAATTTAAAGGAGTTTGAAGTTGGGAAATCAAAACGCAAGGATTGCTATTTCTACCTCCTGGTTATAGCAGTGAGAGCCTGTTTAGTATTTGTTCTCAAAGGATGGGATGTATCTTCAAAGAGGAGAGCACCATGTCCAAGGTACAATTAATGCCATTTTCCTACTAAAGGGAAGACTGCTAGTTTTGTTTTCCTTTTTCCTGTGCTTTAATAGGTAATCTTTTTTACTGCCCAGTTGTTAGGATGTCAGAGCTGGAAAGGGACCTAGAAGAGTAATTAGCTTATTATATAGATGAAGTAGAACAAGAATTTCAGTGTATAGTTTATATTGAGGGATTGAGAAATATTGGAGGCCAAGGGGAAAGATGATACAGTAATGAAAATATTATCAAGAATTTTGATCTGAATTCAGAGGTTAAAACATTCAGTCTTTAGAGGTGAACCTGCTCTAAATGATGTTCAGTAAAAGAAGATAACTTAAGTCTTTTTGCTTCCTGGAGTTTACATAAGTCTAACATTTTTAGGCTGTAATGAAAGTGAAAAGTCCTCAATAGACTGAGCAGCCTTATTTTATTTTACTTTATTTTTACTGCTTTCCTTTTTTTTCTTTTGATACTTACCTTTTTGCATGGTAGATGTGGTAGAGTTAACTGCTTTGGGTGAGCTTTTACTTGAAATTAGCTGCTTTTGTTACTCCAGAAGCAGAGCAAGACCAAATGGAAAAACTGATTCCAGTCAGTCTTCAGGGTTTTTTTGTTTGGTGGGCTTGGGAGATGGAATTAGTGTTTTTCTTAATTTCCCTTAAACTTTAAGCCTTAGAAGCCTAACAGTTATCACATCTTATGGCTACCTTTTTAAAGAAGTAAGTTATTGGGTGGCCTGGCCCCTCCCTGTGACCTGCCTTTTGGATTTTAAAATGTCTTCCTGGTATAGTGGGAATGGCAGAATCAATCTGCTGCTCTTCAGTTGATGTTTAGGAATGTTCTAAGCCCAGTTTTTATTTTGGCACAAAGCCATTTGCATTCTCCCTGCCAGCTATTTTTGGCACTGTCATGAACTTAGAAATTAATGAGTCTGTTCAGTGAAAGTAAAAATTGTGTTCCTTTTCAATTTTAGAAAGGCTTTTATGTTTCTGGGTACTCTTACCTTCTAGTTTATTAATGCTATCAAACATGCCACAGTGGTTGTATTTAATTGAACTCTGAAATTCCATCAGTAATATGGAGCTCTAGCCACCTGCAATAGGAATATCACTTTTTTGTTTTCTTTGGCTAACAGAACTACAGTTCACATCAAATAGCCCCAAAACTGATGGTATTAGTGGTTCCACCCTTAGCTGTCAAATAGTGTAAGTCCCAGCAGGCCTGGATCTTCTGCTGTTTCTGTGCAAGGATCAGGAAAGTTTTTAGACCCTTTGGACCAAGTCCTCTAATTTACCATTTTCTAGGGGCTACTTAGAAAATTACTCTGGGAGGATATTCTTACTTAGGGAAATATCTTTATACCCTCCCCACTCAGTCTTTGTCTGCCCCCCCTCCCCCATACACACAACACAACAATAAGCACATACTGCTTAAGAATAAAATTTGGGAAACCTAGGCACTTCATGAGGAGACATGGCCTATGGTTCCTAATGGAGAGATCTGCTTTTCCATTTAGCTCCTGATTAGTGAGGGATCTGGATCTGGAGTGTCCTTACAGATTCAAATTCTGTGACTTGTAAGAAGGAAAGGAGATTATTTGGAGATTATAAAGTGTTTCAGAGCTCAGACCTTGGATCCAGACTGCCTGGGCTCCAGCCTTGGGCAAGTTACTTAACCTGCCAGTGCCCAGTTTCTACATCTGTAAAATGGAAATAATACTTTCTTACATAGAATCTAAGGTGCCATTGATTATAAGATGAAATATAATATTATTTATGTACCAATAAGAAAGTAAAGGCACTGCCATTAAACTAAAATATACCATCATTTGCAGGAATCTTCTTAATTTCAGAGATGTTAAAATGTGAAAAATGTGTACCTTATAATTGATGACTTAACAGTGATAAGATCTACTTTCATAGGATTGTTGTAAGAATTACGTGAACCCCACATTTTAAAGAACTTAGTGCGTGGCACATACTAAGTACTATATAAATGTCATCTATTATTATTAATATAACCTGTTATTATCATCCCCCTTTTGAATCCATTTATCTCTTAATTTTAGTTACAATTTGAAAAATACCATGTATACCACCATGCCAAATAGATGAGTATAGATGGGTATGTATTTAACTTTTACTTATTTAGAGACAGTATAATGTACTCAACTTCAGAGCTAGGCTACCAGGATTCAAATTCTAGCTCTGCCACTTATTAACTGTGTGATTTTGGGCAAATTACTTAATCTATTTGCCTCTGTTTCCTCCTCTATAAGTATAACATAGAGGGGATATTAATTTTGCCTTGGATATATTCATATATAGAGAGCTCTTAGTTTATGGTATCACCATAGTTTTCTCTTTAAGGTTTCGTAGGGTTGGGTTTCTCACATGGAGCGTTAGTGGAAATGAATATTTCTGAAGGCACACAGAGAGTTCAAAGTTTTAAAAGAATGATGGTATAATAATAATAGTCATTGTTTTATCTAACACTTACATAATGCTAACCATGTGCCAGGCGCTGGTCAAGAGCTTTAATATTTGAACGACATCATTATCATCATCATCATTATTTTTTACTTATTTATTTTAACCTTACCACAACCTTATGTAGTAAGAGGTACTCATCTCCATTTTATGAATGAGGAACCCGAGGCTCATAGTGGGAATCAGCCGCATAGCACAGGGAGATCAGCTCAGTGCTTTGTGACCACCTAGAGGGGTGGGATAGGGAGGGCGGGAGGGAGCTGCGAGAGGGAGGAGATATGGGGATATATGTATATGTATAGCTGATTCACTTTGTTATACAGCAGAAACTAGCACACCATTGTAAAGCAATTATACTCCAATAAAGTTGTTAAAAAAAAAAAAAGAACCTGAGGCTCAGAAAGATTAATTGCCTACAGCTGTTAAATAATGGAATTAGGATTTGAACCACTGTGTCTCTACAGAAGGCATTTCTGTCATAAAGGGGTATTTATTGATCAGGCCATTTAATTGATTTTTCTGTAATTAAAAAGTTTCTAAGAATAAAAAAAATAAGTCCATAATCCCTTATCTGTAATTTCTAGATTCAGAAAGCTTTCAAAGCTAAAAATCTTTTTCTAAGTTTGGTATAAACTTATTTATTGGCAAGACCTGACTTGAATCAATGTAAGGCTGTTTAAAGTATTTGTCTGGCTTAGTGTGATTGGTCATATGTTTTGTTGCAGAAGTATTAATGTGTTTGATTTCGGGATGCTTCCCTAAACTCCATTGGGATTATTATGAAGTATGTAGTTTATGCATGGGTAGTACCTTTCTGAAATTCATAAAGCTCTGAATTTCAAAACACATCTGGGGCCAAGAGTTTCGAATTATGGATTTTATACCAAAGATTGTTTTCAGTTTCATTAAATCAATGTACCTTTACCTGATACTAAAACAAGACTTAATCAACATAGTTAGTTTCCCAAAATAATGTGTAATTTTTTTAATTTGCTATTTTTGTTTTTGCTAGAGCCCCTGAAATTATTCTTGGATTACCATTTTGTGAAGCTATTGATATGTGGTCATTGGGCTGTGTGATAGCTGAGCTGTTCCTGGGGTGGCCTCTTTATCCTGGTGCTTCAGAATATGATCAGGTAAGAGTGTTTATTTGGATGGCAATAGAAAGCAAGTAGTTACTGATGAAAGATTCTAGAGGAATAGAAGTACTAGTGAAGTATTTATTTAGGTTGTAGTG